CGGGAGAAATCTCCCAGGACAAATCTCCTAGGACCAGGGGGAGGGGACAGGGAAGGGAAGTGTGGAGATACTGCTGCCAGAGCCAGGAGGAAGCTTGGTGGTAGATATTATCCTCTCCTCTGGCCCACCCACCCACATGGTTGACCTAATTCCTCTTCTGGAGCCCTCCTTCTTTCTAGCCCTCCCCCACTGCCATCTAGATTCCATTGTGTTCCAGGCTGAGCTTGGGACTTGTGTGCCCAGCAATGTCAGCTCTGTCTTCAAGATCCCCCAGCCCTAGGCACCAGCCTTCTGCGGTAGAGATCACCTGTTAATGTGCCCCAATCCCAGGTGCTGGAGAGAAATGGGGACAAGAAGCTGTGCAGTTACCCCCAATCCCCTCCAGTGGAGGGCAGTGCCTGCCAGGACCCCCAACTCAGCCTGGGCCAGGGTCATGCGGGATCTAGTGGCTTAGTATGCTGCTGAGAGTGGCAGCTAAAAATACAGCCATGGGTTCCTGTGTGTTGTGACGTAGAAGCCAGAGAAGGGGAAAGTGACTAGGACAATGAAGAGCCACAGGCCAGAGGGACGGTGATGGGGCAAGAGGCTGAGGGCTGAAAGGATGGCAGGAGTTGAGGCAGAGGGAGAAAGGAAGTTGAGAAGGAAGCAGGTAACAGGCCAGGAAGGGTGGGAAAGGCTGAGGAGAAGGAACAGGACCAGGGCCCACAGAAAGGTTGTTCTAGGGACTGGCCTTCATGGGGTCAGGTCCTTTCCAATTTTGAGCCCACCCAAGAAGACAAGGCACCCTGGTATCAAGTAGAGGGTTGGTGGCCTTTGGAAGGCAAGAACATGGCTTAACCCCCACCCCACCTAAGAGGCCAGGCCAGAGGATCAGAGGTGGGTCAGTGACCCTCTCCAGAGGTGGATGGATAGTGCTGGGAGGGGTGTGCCTGGGTGGTTCTCAGAGAGGCGGAGCTGCTCTGAGAGATGTCCAGGTGATACCCAGTGTCCCAAGTCTCAGGCTTACATTTATGCTTGCCCAGAAAGCCTACAACTCGGACTTCTACTCAATTCTTCCTGTGTGGCCTCAGGATGCCTTGGTGGCCATTTTTAGCTAGCCATTCATCAAGTCATATCAGAGATGCTGGAGGTTTGAAAGTCTTGAAGTGGAAGTGAGGTGACACAGGACACAGACACCAAAGCACAAGTTCATGCCCATCCCGAAGAGGCATAAGACGTTGACGTATATGTTCGTTTAGTTAGGAGTCACTCTTGGAGATATGAACAGGGTGACAAAGGACTCCCCGACTTCTAACCCTGTGCTGCAGAGTTAGAGATGCTTCCCTGAGGAAGGGATGATGTTTGAGCTCATAAGTCAGACAATCACCACCAAATCCCACAGTTATAAAAATACCTCAAACACTTATTTCTGGGCTGGCATACAGCAGTAAAATAAGGCTGGTTCTGAAGTCACGACTGAGGAGGGACAGAAAAAACATGACGTACTCAAGAGGAAAGCAATCCCTCCATGAACAGTGATGGTAGAAACGCCAGATGAGCATGGCAAGGCAGAGGCAGAGGCAGAGGCATCCCTGCAGAGGCTTTGGATATTTGAGTGGGGGTAGGAGTAGGAATAGCATGGAGTGGGGTGGGAAGAAAGAGCAGACGTGGTAAAGAACAGACATGGGCTTTGCAGAGCCTGGGGACACCGCAACTGACTCTGCCCACTTCCCAGGCAGTACCACTGTAGATGAGAAAGCTGTCTCACCTGTAAAATGGGCACGGGCCCGTTGGAGAGAATTCAAGGAAACCGTCTCTGCAAAAGGCCCAGCACAAGGTCAGGCATGCCAACAAATATTCCATACATGCCAGGCTCCTTCTCCCTGCCTCCCAGGCAAGGAACAGCTCATTTACTGAATAGTGATTAAGTGCATCAACTCTGGAGCCAGACAGCCTGGTCCAAAGCCCAATCCTGCCACTTACTAGCTAGGCCACCTTGGGCAAATCATTTGCCCTTCATGTGCCTATTTGGGAAATGGGATTATAATAATAGCACCTACCGCCTTGTCTTCTCGCCCCTACAGCATCTAGCAGCACATCTTTTGAGTGAATTAATGTGGTAAATCAGCATCACAATGAGAGGGAATGCCACAGAGGAAGCCACTGATTTCCAATCTCAGAGACGCTAAATTAGCCACACAGATTAAGTGCCTTCCTTCTAATAAAACCCAGATAATCCCCACACCAAGAGTTAATCCTCACAGGCTACTTCAATTTAGCAGCTCATCTCTCTCCTCCAACCAGCACTCTCTCTACTCCCACCTCTTTACTCCAGTGGGAAGGAAGGGCAGATGGGTTGTGGGGAGGGAGCACCCCTTGGCTACTGTGTCACTTCCAACATCAGGGGCAGATGACCCAAGAGGCATCGGAGCTGGATTAGAGCCAGTCCAGGGCGAGAGCCTGGGTCTCTGTGGATAGAGCAGGCCTCAGATCAGCAACTAGCAGCAGAGAAGGTCTATCATTGGGCCTGCTGGCTTCGGCA